GGCAGATTAGTTAACTATATAACAAAGTTTTTAAAAACCCATGTACATAGTGAAACTCGATAAGTCGGACAAAATCCCTCTGCACTTTTTTTTCATATTAAAATTGGTTCAATACCTTGATAAGTCGGACAGCCCTGTCCGCCCCATTGTGTCCGACTTATCGAGTTTCACTGTACATGGGTTTTTAAAAACTTTGTTATATAGTTAACTAATCTGCCTATAAACTTTGTTTATCTGAAATTATTTTGTTAAGAGCGAACTGGTTCCAGAAAAAATACTTCGTTATAAGCCATCTTTGTTAAAGTGGAAGTTCATTAAGCAAATATTCACCGTGTAAATCATTTGGCAAACAAAGTTGCTTACCAGCGTTGAAAAATGTGAAAGAACTTTAAAAACTTGTTTGGCAAAAAAAACGCCGAGCTAGATCCGCAATTTTTATCTAATCAAATAACGCTTGAATTTACAAGTTGCCCAATAAACAGGCTGTATCGACAATAAAAATTTTTTATCTTTAACAAACAAGCCTACGGAAAAACACGTTTGACGAACAAGAGAAGAAAAATGTAAACTACTCAGATGGGGAAAATTTCAAAATGAAGAAATATATAATAATACTAATAATAAGATAATAAAGTTTAAATTTGCACCAGAGTGACCAAAAAATAGGCTATACTCACAAATGGCTTTGAGACTAAGTATTTTCTTTCCATGCAATTACTCTGGTGCTTTTATTATTATTTATGTTTCAAAAGCGCGCGCATTCAAACTGAAACCGGAACAATGTATTATAATCCCGTAATCTCCAGAGATCTACAAAAAATGATCGGATGACAGAGATACAATTTGTAATTGGGCAAGCCGTATTGGATAATCAGCGCTACCATCCGAAAAGCATAGGAAAAAAATCCTGTTAATTTTGATATTGTAAAATTATTGTCAGTTCAACAATTCCGTATAGTTTGATTACTCGATTATATAAATATATAGTCGAATTTAATACTTTTAATATGGGTAATTTAACGATGTAGTGTTTCCTCAAGCAGCACATCTGGAGCCTATTTATGTCAAACGCGTCTCCAAATATTTTGCCGGTAGGCAAGATCTTATTACTTTGCATGTCTGCTGCTCAAACTTTTATACAATTTACTCATAATTAAAGGCTATAAAACATTTCTCTTGTTTTGTTATATTATTTCTTTTATTATACGTTTAATAATGTCAAAGATACGGAAATCAACTTCAAAAAAACGTTCTCGCGTTAAAGCTAAAAAACGTCCATGATTGGGTATCATCCAAGTGTTCACGTTGCGCTAAACCCAGTCGGAAAAAAATAATAATAGTTATGATCAATGAACGAACTATGAATGTCATCTACAGCTTGCATTACATACCAACTTTTTGCATAATTATTAGGCGCAACTAAGGTAAACCTCTAAGCTGCTTTTCTAATTCAGTTCTTAGTTGAATTACTTGAGTTTGAATTGCTGGTGCGAGTTTATTAAGTCTGAAAACTTTAATTAAATCATCAGGTTAAGATCATTTAGTATTAAGCTGAGCTGTCTTGATTATCAATGAAACATAAGCTCAGTTTCTTCAGCTACTAAACTTTTTTGAATTAGTTTGTATAGCTTTTCGTTCAAGTCTAATTCTATACCGTATTGACTAATTCGTTGCAAGATTTTTCAATTTCTATAAGAAACGAAAGGGTATTATCATTATTGCTTGTGGCATACTTGTTTAATTTTGTATTGGTGTTTCATAAACGACGTTGCGAAACTATTGAAACGATGGATTCTGTTCTTGCGTAGGGTCAGCTGATTTTTGAAATCTAACCATTGGCGACAAAACTTTTCAGCATTCCCGCGCACTATGCCAGAAGCACAAAAGTCAACAAAAAGATTGATTGCCGAAAAGAAGCACGTTTCCCGCAATGACTGTCTTCCTTGTGTAGGAGTTAATAATGTGCTGATATGGTTCGACGTTAGAGTTTGACAATGATATTTAGAATTACCAAGAAATTGTCATTGTCAAAAATAAGCTGCACATGGCATACGGGCTAATTATTAACTGCAAGTTAATAGTTACAGTTAAACAACTCCTGACGCCTAATTTCTATAATAAGGAAAGTAAACTAGGTCTTAAGAATTAATGCAGCCAATAGAAAATCAATATTACAAATCAGGGAAAAAGACCGCATGAATCCACCCCCTCTTTCACACCGATCCCCTTTTTCGCACACATGTTTTGCCTAATTTGAGAGAGACTTTAGTTTGAGGATAAACACATTAGTCCCGTTGAATCTTAATGCTTTCATTAAATTGGGTCGGGGGAAAAAATGATGCAACCATTACACATAACCGAGGTAATTAGCCCGTGGGAATACGTCTAGTTCGCCTCACCTCAAAGACCAGCTGGCTGGGGCTGTAAAACAAAATTACATTCATTCGTAGGTTTTAAATAAAAGGCAACTCAGGTCGACACTGTAAATTGGTCAGAATTTCCGCTGTGCTAATCCCCGAAGTTTATAAAATGTATGTGCCAATTACGGAGGATCCTGGTTGGCTAGACTTTGAACAGCAGGTTGCTTACATTATAATTACCCCTTTTTTATTGAAATTAATTAAACGGACGGTATATCGATATATTTATCGTCCTTCCCTGTTAACACTCAGTCGGAAAAAATCGAAGCCGATGTAGAGAACCTGAGTGATGATGATGATGAGGTGGACAAATTTGTGCACGAAATGTTCGATGACCTCAATGATCTGATCATCAAAAAATCCAAAGAAGCGGAAAACTACATTCTCAGCAAAAAGCCTACGGCGCCAGAGAGAAACTCTTACGAAACAGATGAGGAGTATAACAGAGCACGTGCAGGTAATTTTCATCTTTTGACTGACAATTACAATTGTAAATTGTTTTAACATATCACCTGACAACTTCACAACGTCAAGCCCATAAAAAAAAATCCGAGTCGTTCAAGAAGTTCGTTGCCCGGGGTGCGGCCTTTGTGAGTCGGTTGTACGAATTATTTACTGAAATCATCAACTTCTTTAAAGAGTTGGGGACTTGGTTGAAGGCCAAAATTCGTAATGTTTCTACAAAGTAAGTGATTATGTCGGAATTGTCTCATGTAGTGTTACAATTTACAATAATAATATTATTTTACTTCATTATTTAGAATCCGGAGTTTTATGAAGACAATGACGGAAAAACTTAGCAAACTGTATCGCACATTATTCTCATTTAAATCCACGAAAGATGATTAGTTTCTAAATTATCTGATAACAAAGCAATTTACTCGAATCGCCGATTAGGATATTAACATATAACGTAATAATAATACGATGAAATTGCTCCTGACACAAGAGTTTGCCGTGCAATGTAATCAATTAGGACTTTATGGCTCAATATAATACTACGTAAAATTTCACCGGCAAGTTGTTGCTGAGTGTTGGTGTGTTTAGCAATACGTTTAATAAATTCGCAAATCAATATCATTGAGCAATCAGTAAATAATACTAATACGTTTACATTAATATGAGCGGCTGAGAACGTTTCCAAATTGGCGATTTGGAATATATTATACTGCTCGGGAGGAAAGTCTACTTATTCGCAGTAGCAGGGAGGGCTATCGCTGAAAGGGGTGGAGTTATTCTTTGCTAAAAAGTTTTTCCAGACGGACGTAATCTTGGTATCTCTGAAGGAGGTGCCTCAACCCCTAACGTCATAAACAGTATGTTCTGTTAGATTGCTCAACTTTATAGTTGGAAACCGGAGTATTATTAAACCTTATTTCCTCATCTTGAATATATTGCTTGCGAAACTATTGTACGAGGAAAAGGCTGTATATGTAATTCATATCTGTCAACTTACGACTATCCCTTCCTGATCCAGTCATATCAGTATAGCAACAAACATTTAAAAGATCAACTTGGATTGCATTATGTTTCTCTTGAAAGTTAACAACTGAACAAGAACGGAAACTCATAATGACTTGCTGTACTGTGAAACATCGAATCCGTGAGTTTTACCAAATATTTAGTATTGTAATTTCTTAAATAAGCATATATTGAATTTCAATTTCAGTTAAAAATGTAATGAATGTTTAATCAATTGATGCAAACAGAAAAAGCAAATGATATTTAGGTCACTTGCTAACGTTCTCTAATGTCCACCCCATTAATATCAATCTCACCATAGTTACAGGCCATATTATATCATAAGCAAGTTAAGAGTATTGAATTCAATAATACTTGCCTATGTAGGAACTTAAACTAATTCAACTTAATAACCAATTTATTTACATATCTGATATACAAAAAATAACAACAACTCAATCAACAACCCGTTTTGTAACCAAAAATACTTCCCAGTCAATCCAATAAAAGCCTGATCTTTCCAAACCAGGACGTATTGGAATTTCGTATGCACATTTCTCAGTAGAAGTAGCATGAGCAAAATGTAAATCTGTAGAAAAGTTAGGAAAC